AACAATGGGGGGGGAAAAAAATAATAATAAAATCTTCCTCAGTATTGACCAAACAGGCAACACATCTAACATAGAATTGGAAGTTAGATTCCAGGCCTTAGCTGTTTCCACTTTTTCTTGATTTCAGTAAATCCACGACTTCTGTACTTGTTTTGTATGGTAGTCTTCTATTAGAAGAATCTTCTTCTTTATATAGTACAATATTATGTATTGCATGTATATATATAACAAAATGCCAGTTCAATATTAACTACTAGAGCAGCAAACACCATTCTTCAGTGGCCCCTCCTGAAATACGGTGTGCCTTGCAATCTCTAACTCTTACGGATAGTTAGAATGGGAATAAGCATCTAGCTAAGATTAAGGGACTTTGGCATAAGGTTTTATTTAACATCAAGATCTATTCAAACAGAACTTCTGCTATGGTGTTTTCCTCCTCATCAGCTTCCCTATTTTACTTGTGAAATTCGCATTGATCAGTTGCGTGATGCCAGCCAGCTGTGGTAAAAGACCAACTGCAATTTCCAAAGCTTATGTTTAGAGACCAACACTGGATTGAGTATCATATGCCACATCTAGACTGTTGAGAGAGGATACCATAAAAAAAAAGTGCTAAGGAAAGGCACTAAAACCAGTTAGATGTACTTATAAGACAGTGAACTTGCAGTTGCATTTCTTAACACGAAAGGAAATTGGTCTGCTTATCAAGCTCAAAATGCAAGCCTACTTACAGCAATAGAGAGGATCACCAGAAGCTGTTACAAGTTACAGACGCTATTCTCAACTGTCCTTCAAGCAGGCATGCTGCATTTTCTTTAGTGAATGAATGCAATTTAATTTTGGCCCTAGTATGAAGTAAGGAATTTGAGTTTCTTCTCTGAAAAATATTAACCCTAAATGAAATCTGAACTTACGCTTCTAGCAGGCTATTGGCTCTAGAAATAAAAAGAAACATTGGAAGATTTTTGGAGGTGCTGAAACATTTGTTTTGAAGTTTTATTACAAAAATATATTTGCAAACATACAAAATTTTGGATGAAAAAATGCTCATTCTTAAACATTTATGCAATAACTTAAGAACTGCAAACATACATAGGTGCTATAAAATCCATACCATACCAAAAACGTTAATGATGCAGTATCTGCGTTTATTGACTTACAGTTATTCTCATTCCTGGTTTCCAGAAATCTTTCCTGAAGCCCCCCTTCCCTGTGGTCTTCATATTGAAAGAACATGCAAATGAGTACGACTGGTGCATCCACAAAAGTGATAAAGCTCAGAAATTACTAAAAGCACATAATGTACATTAAAAAACTTAACTAACCATATGCCCATACAGTGAATAGATAAAAAAATAAATACACCACCAAATTAGAGATACTGCAATTTTTCCAACTTGAAGTGAAAGGAAGATATTGCATCTTAACATTTTCATAATGTTGCCAGACAAAACCGAGGTGATACATATTGCACACATTCCTCCTGTTAAGATATGCTGTACAAAGCAACCCAAATACCTGGCAAAAAGGTGGCTGATTTGTTTAGAATACTTTTAAAAACAAGAAGTCCCAAATTAAAGTTTGTTTTCAAAAATATTTCAGAAATTATTTCAGTGACTACACATGGCATAACAGGTTTCAGAAATATACCAAAATGAAGCAATTAGAAACGCAAGCAAAAATGAGATACATCCAGCAGTGAGTATTTAAGTATTCTATTGAGAATTTATACACAGAATTAAACGTTTTATATGAAAACAAGATGAATCACTTAATTTTTTTAACTTTATTCAATCATTCTGCAAATCTTTTTTAATTTGGAAAGATATACTGCTTCTAAGTTAATAGCTGTTAGGCACCTTTCATATAAACTTTGCATTATTAAATAGCAGATAAAGTCTAACTACAAAAGAACAATTCAGCAGCTGTAGGTTTTAAAACTGTCTTTGATTAAGTTTGAATTTGGTTGGGTGGGTTTTTTTTGTTTTGTTTTTTTTTTTTTTGTTTTTTTTTTTAAAGTGACTTAATGCTAGCCATGAAACACATACTTAGATAACACAATTAATTTGGGGAGTATAGTCTCAACTAATAATTCTAATTCTCATAGGCAAAATCCCATTGAGACAGCAGGGCTGGTGTTTCTTTTTTTTTTTTTAATTTAACAAAAATCACTTGAAAACGGTCACAATTTCCTGTGATGACCCACGGTAACTTGCTATGCACTAGTTATTCCTACACGTGGCTAACATGAATCAAGGTCTTTGACAAGCTGGCAATTTTAAATTTCTAAAAGAAGTTAAAATAATCAGGAAAATAAAGTTTTTAAGTAACACAGTCCACATTTAAAAAAATAATTCATTTTTTACACTGTAGTTGAGCTTGTGTTTTACAATGCAACTTTACTGAAAAGAGGTTTATCTGGTAAATCCATTACCCTGGCACTTGTCATAAAGAACAGACTGTAACTCTGCGGCATATTGGATGACACCTTGGTTGGTTCCAGTGTCTGTTGGCTACATGTAGAGAGGTTAAAACAAACACGTGCAGGTGATCAAGATGAACAGGTTTGCTTGTTGTAAAAATGCCTGCCTAGTAACTATGATTTCAACTCTGTTTCTCTTCCAATTCATTTTGAAAGTCGGAGGGGTGGATAAGTAAACCAATAACGTAGGTAAACCACTTGCTACTAGTACACTAGAAAAAGTAAGGATCTGCCAACTGCTTGCGGGGGTTCCTGGACAGCTGGAAACAACTTAAGGATATTCAAAGTAGAGTCAAACTCTCATAACAGCATTGCTACTCTAAACAGTATTACTTTTGTCCATTGTATATGACTGAAGAACTCAAAATACAACTCCTTCCTACCGTATCTATAGATCTTTGGATATGACTGTATTTAGCAAACAGTACAAATATGCACTAGCAGCTTCCAATATTTCTATTCTTAGAAACTTTTATCAAATCTTCCTTCGAAGAAACAGGAAGCTGTCTGTAAGAAGTGAGAAGTTATGGACTTTGTCTTTGCTAAATCCAGATAAAAAGCAAGTCTCTATTTGGTTTAGGCTATCAATTTTTGTTCAGAGGAACTGCTCATTGGTTTGTCCCTTTCAGTGAAAGTTTTTCTAGAAAACACAAAACAAATTAGTTTAGACCTTAGATCTAGTTTGAGTCTCATTGTTTATGGGCATACACAGTACTGAACTCTAGAATTTATGCAGAAAGCTCCTATCTTACTTAACAAGGCTGTTTATATTGCTGAATTCAAATGCTACCATTAAAGCCAATATATTTCTTGATGAATGTGCATGACATTAGCATCTTTCCCTGAATCTTGCACGTTTTTCTAACAAAATACCATGTATTTTAACTGGAAACACTGAACTCAAAGGCTGAAAAGAGCTTTTCAGAAGGCAGGTAGTGCTAAACAAAGTATGTTTTCCACTAAAAAGCTATGAAAAAACTAAAATAGATCAAATACATAAAAATGTAAATATTTGTTGTATCTAAAACATACCAATTTGTGAACAAGTCACAATTAAAGCTCAATTACTAGTTTCCAACAAAATGCCCATGCACCTTGACTACATCAACATCAACTAATCCTTAGGATATATACACATAGATATATGTTGTAAGGAGCCAAACAATTTTTTTTCTTCATATTTCAATAGTGCTTGAGGGAAAAGAAATAAGCAGTGCATCATAACTCACTACAGATTATCTTTTTACTCAATAAACCAAAACTTTTCTACTGGAGAAGCATCCTTTAAAACTACTATTGCTGGAAGAAGTTGGGACCTGAAGTCTTATTAATTACCTTTGCATGTCTTTAAGAAATAAATACAAGCCATGGGTAAAACAACACAGCAGCATAAGAAACTATAATTAGATTTTTTCTGACTTCAAATGGGAAAGTGTCCAGTTAAATTCTTACATTAGTGAATTACTAGATCACATATAAGAAGCGATAACATTTTAATTAGATAAACTTCAGACTATGAAGTGTGTACTGACAATCTGGGGAGAGGGCAACAGAAGAAAAGCATGCATTTGTTCCCCGTCTGCATAGTTTTCAACACTGCAGTTCCAATGCAACTGAGGAATGAAAGCCAACTATGACATGGTCCACCCTTAAGCTAAAAGGGAAACAAAGTATTGAAAGTATTTCAAATGCTGCTGAAGAGGAAGAGGGCCTTCCAGTGGTGGTATCCTAACTACAAATTTAAAACAAGAACTTCAACATGCAACAGAACTACTCTGTTGCTTAAAAAACCCCCAAAACATAAACAACAAATCAAAACCAATCACTGAGGATTTTGCATATTTCAAATTTTACCTTTTTAGAGAAAACGGCCTTACTCACTTGGATACCTGTTTAATGTCAGCGGTGCAGAAGCAAGTAAGATTAATGGAATATTTAAAAGATGATTTATGTCCATTAGCTAGAGACTGTCATTGTATTGAGCAAATCACATTTTAAAATCTTTTGTTAAAGATTCAGCTCCAAAGACCTGGCTTCCAGATCCATTCCTTCCCCACACCTGCCAACTTAAACCACAAGGCATTTTACTTTTTTTCCCCTCAGTCCTCCAAACTGGACCTATGTTATCACAGCTGAATTTTGTTCTGGTGTGGTGTAGTGTACTGTACTATGCATTTGCTGGTTTAAATAGTATCAAGTCCGTAATCCTTGAACAGTGAATACAGCTAGGAATGAAAGCCAGAGCAAACATTTGCACATTCAGTTAATGCTAATGAGAGCTCAAATGCAACTTAAGTCCCCTCCCCAGTAAAAATAAAGGTTTGCTGGTGATGATCACAGTGAAAACCTAGATCACTTCTGAGAACATTACTTTCATAAGTATTTAAGGAATAGTCTTTCCTAACAGGTTCAAATTCAAGACGTTGAAAACTAAATATTCTTTTACAAAAATATTAGTTTTATAGACGAGGCATAATTGTTTCTAAAATGGATATATTTTAAGCAGATTTAGCTTTGATTATAGCTTAATGTTGTCTGTATTCTTGGTTAGGACTTGCAAGTAGACTTCATGAATAGTGCTGAGAAAACGGGAATCATTCTGCAGAAAAAAAAAAACCACATTAGAAACATAAGTAAAAAGATGCAAAGAAAGTTAAACTTAATGCCATTTAAGTTCTGCGTAAGAATTCCTTATAGTGCTAGCTATCTGCAAGTTAAGGGAATGGAACTAGCTGTGTACTTGTACAAGTAACAATGCTTTTTGGACAACATACAGACTTTGAACCATGAAGCTGGTAGGACAGCTAGAGATCACTAAGCACACTGGATGCTCAAACAAACCAGCCAACCTGGGGTCACTAGGTCAGCCTTGCCATGTATTTTCACTTCCCTCCAGAGTCCAAATCTTAGTCTTAGACACAGAGAATTCCATCCTATGTACAGGCTCCCAAATGAAGTCTGCATGATGTCAGAAATGTTTTTTCTGTCTGTCAGACCAGCCTGGAAGGGATTGTAGCGTGCTACACAAGAATTCTCATGTCAAAGAATTACTGAAAAGTGAATTTGTTTCATCTATAGACAATATTTAGAGATATTTCCTGAGTTTAGTTCCTTCAGATGACAACTTCACAAAAGCAGTATCTAATCCTCTAGCTTGCAGATGTAATATTCTTTTCACAAGATCTGCACAGCAGTTCCCGCTTGGAGTACTGTGCAAGAGTACTCCTATGCTGCAGGGTATGGTCTTCATTCAGCCACCTCTGTATTTAAAGAGAGGATTATAGACAAATATTCCAATCAGCTCTCTAAAGTCACTACAATAATGTCCTTCAGACTACTGGGTGAGAATCAGTGCCCTATGTCTCTAATGAGAATAAGACTTCTAGCACTTGAGTTCAGTTGCAAGACTTACAAGTAAGCTAGTTTAACTCTTTAAAGAGAAAAAAAAACAACACACCATACACACCAACACACAAAAAGGAACAACACAGATGAAACAGGCAACCTAGCCGATGATGGGATCTGGTAGAGGCCCTTTTTCGTCCTGACAACTTTATCGCTGGGAAGATATTATATTTAGACTTGCATTCTGGGTGTAAGCTCTACTAACATCAGCATAGAGCGGGCAAGAGAATCTTGGGTTAAAGAACTGTGTCATTCATGGCAACTTCACCGTGACATTGGAGGTCAAAATGATCTCACTGCATGGCTACTTCCACCATCACAGATGCACTCAACTGAACCTTTTAGTCCCTAGAAATAGCAGAACTAGGACTTCGCAATTTCCATTGTAAAGAGACATACTTAGTTAAAGATCGGGAACAGTTCTAGGGAACTAGAAACAGGAAAGCTTTCCTTGGAAAAGCAGGAACACTTACAAAGACAACAAAACCAACACCCCATCCTCATACCAGGCCTTCTGCTAGTGCAACTTTTTCCTCAGTCCACAAATTCATACAAATGTGAAAGGACACATCTGATGTACAGCTCTGTCCTTTTAATTCCTTCATCTCACAACCAAAGGAGAAAGCTCTGCCATACTACGTGTGCAGTGTGGAGTAACCTACTCCTTCCAACAGAAAGGAACAACTTTTGTAATGTTTCAGGGCAAAAGTTGTTACGGGGTACACAGAATTTCTCAGTATTGGCTACTGTACTTAGAACCCCATCCCTCAGAAATTGAGCTCAGTAAAGACAGGACCTTTATTAGATGTATCAGTGCTTCTTGAAGCTGAGACCTACTGAGAACAGTAGGTGGTATAGTCTGAATTTCTGTTGTTCCCAGTGTTAAAGGCGAAGAAGAATTGGCTTTATTCTCCACTTCAGTAGCTTTTGTAGCTGATTGCTGAAAAACACTAGGAGACAAGAGGATTGAAGGCGTTACTGTAGTTGTGGTTGTAACAAACTGCGGAGGTGCAACCTGTAAAAGAACAGAAAATTAATAAGCACCACGTCCATTAAAAAATGAATGCTGCTATAAAGGCTGGAGAGATGAACATTAAAAAAAAAATGTATCCACTATTATTCAGTCAGTTATTACAGAATAGCTGCTTTTAATAAAGAAATATCTGCCTATGAAGATTAGTATCAATAGTAATTCTCATTCAAAAAGATGAAGAAGGTAAGTCTTCAATATTCTTGTACGCAGACTCCTTCCTCTTCACATGGTTACTACCTTCCAGATTTTTTGAAACATAACACAGAGTAAGAGATGAGCTTTTCAGCTAGATAATCAAAAGAGCCTGTATTTGTTTTGCAAATTATTATTTTCCTTCGGAGTTTACAGAAAGGCTACCCCACCCTCCTGTTTCTGTGGTCTCCAACAAATACACTTATAATTTGAAGTAAAGAATCTCAAAGACTTTTAAAATGACTGGCGAACTATAATTAACGTATTGGAGTACATTGAAATATTCTAAGTACATTTTCCCTTGTGAGGGAAATCACAAATGTATAGGAATATTATATTTGCATAAAGTAGATGTGAATAAACATCAGCCTTGAGCAAGTCTGACAATCTCCTGATAACTGCAAGTATTATTCAGTATGACAATCTACATCTTGCTCAGGCTTTCAGAATGACCAACGTGGGGAAAAAAAAAAAAAAAGAAAATAAACAAGCCAAATCTCACGCAAAAGAAAATGAGACTAAACATGATATGTAAAGATGTTTGATACATCAGCAGAAAGAGTTTCCCTTGGATAATCAAAAAGCTTCAGAAGAAAAAAAACTGCAAAGCCATCTAAAATTAATGCGTATATAATAACATCAACAACAGTAGAACTAGCAAACTGATTTTGTTATAGCCAAAACTGAAGACTTACAGCATGGGATATCAACTGAAGACATGTTTAAACCAAATACAGTTTACCATACAACACGCACACGTTTCTTAAAATTCCAAACCCCATGTAAAATGCTTTTATTTAGATAATTATTTACTAACTCTGTCATGAACAGACTGTATAGCTTGTCTTATAGCAGGCCAGTAGTTAAAACAGCATTTTACTTTAAGGAGCACCATTTTTACTGCCTTCACTATCAGATCTGGGCATGCTACTAAAACTGCTTTTATTTAGTGCAAGTTGGACAAGAATGAGGCAATTTAACTGATTTGAAGAAGGAGGGCGTGGGTAAAGGAAAAGTGGAATTAAATTACAGATGGTATCCTGAAAAGAATACATAACAAAAAGGCAATTAAAAACAATTCTTGAAGACTTGACTATTATCAGTTATTTTTTTACCTGCAACCTGAAATTTTATATTGACATTTTGAACTGTTATTGAAAGGCAGTTCTAATAATGTTGAATCTGTATTTAGATCATTAAAACTTCCTATTAGAAAGTTTTGCAGTAGGAAATGCTTTTTATTATTTTCCTCTATCTTTTTTTTTTTTTTTAAATTTTTTTGCTTGGTATCTTTTTCGTAAGAGACAAGGTTTCTCAGCAAAACTGAAAGAGACAGCAAGGCAAAGATTGCGTTTTACGCCTCTGGAGTGCTTAAGGTCGGGCTAAGGCTAACAGACCCTACTGCAATATTAAAGCGTTAGTACTGTTTGCGTACAAGACAAAAAAACCTCAGTTCAAATGGTGCAAACTCAATGCAAGATTGCAGATGCAAAAACATGTTCTTATTTCTGTGTTAGCACCAACAATAAGAGGCACCATAAAACAACAAAGCGTACTCATTCATAGCAGTCTACACAAACTCCCACTTGCCTCAGTACAGCTCGTTTCTGCTTGATAACAACGCTTTAAATATGGTCAGTGGGCAATGACTGTTTGAGATACCAACTGTTTAGCACAGTTTTAAACCCTTCCCCTTTTTTTAAGGAACCCGACGACTTAGCAGAATATTTATTCACTTACTTGACTTGCTTTAGACAAAGTCTTCGGCTGTGGAAATACTTCAGATTCCTTGTTTTGTTGTACAGTCTAAGTGAAAAAGAAAGCATAACCCACAAGTTAGCATCCACAGCTCAATTTCCAGTGGTGGTTCTCTGTTTTTTATGGACGCACAAAAATGCAAGTTTCAACAGATTTTAGATACAATTTGAACCATTTTGTAAAACCGAGATAATCAATGGGAGGCTGGAAAAAGAGGAAAGATTTGAATTTATGGTTTATGCTTTCAATATTATAGCAAACCTGTAAAACCGTAACAAAACACTTCTGAAGACAGACTACTATACTTAAAAAAAAAATATCTAAACATCAAAACACTGAAACTGGGAACAAAACAAATACTGCAAAGTGAAGAGAAGCAGTTTGGTAAATTTCCAGGAAGGTATAATACTTATTCAAGCATAAAAATATTAGAAAAAAACCAATAAAAGACATAGATAAGGTACTTCAGTAAATTCCTGTGGCGTTCTTGGAAAGGCTTGTTATAACCATTTGGAATACCTCTTGGCAGCACAGAACAGAAAAACCTCTTCGCAACAGACAGTACTTGGCTTACTTGAACTGCTGTGAAGAAACACTCGGGGAATTGATAGTCCTTAATGACAAAAATAATAGCTTTATGAAGTGGTAACAAGCACAAGATCAAATTCTTGAAGTCTAATTACACAAAAGTTAAGAGGTCTTTTGCTAGCTTGAGAGTGTATTTGGACTATGGAATATTTTGTCTAATGAAAATATATACGCACCGTGGGCTTGGTGAAACGAAAGAGTGCAAGACTGTCATATGAAGAGCTAATTCCCAAGGCTATCAAGCAGATGTTGAATCAATGCAGTCAAGGGCAGTTATGGATAAAGCCAGCCAGCTTTTTTAAGTGCTCAAAGATATCACAATCTTCAGACAAATCTGTACGAAGGTTTAGTAGTACACTAAAGATAAATACTGCTCAGAATGTACAGTTCTTCAATACTAGATCAAGAAAGCTCCTCAATGCTGTACTTGGACCTCCTCCTCCCTCTGCAACACGAATCCATCCAAACATCTCAAAAAGGTGATCACTAGTAAATTAATCCTTGTACTTAGCAGTCACAGCCTTCTTGAAAATTTTCAAGAACAGCAGTAGATTAGAAATAAAGCAATTAGAAAGACAGCACAATAAAAACACACCCATTTCTTAAACATTAAGACAGGGATAATTCTTCTGAGGACAGAAAAGCAACACTTGAAAAATACAGGGTATTCTAAAATAAAGCTTAGGACAAGTTACAGACTGAAGAGTTGAGCTTTTGGTTAGATCTCTGTTATGAGTAAGTTATCACCATATTCATAGCAAGGAGTAGGAGCTGACCCAGACAGGGCTACCAAAAATCTTGTTAAAACCCAGTGGCAAGTGCTGGAAAATAATAAACATTAGGAAATCCATACAGCTATAGCTTTAAGTAGTTTTGTTTGGTGGTTTTTATTCTTGCATTATCACTGTACCAAAGATGCAAGAAGACACAATCAAACACTAGCTTAGTCCGCAAGAATGTAAATAAAATAAAATAATAATGCAACAAAACGAAGAGAAGTCTTTGGATAAGCTGACAAATGGGCGATACAGAAAGTTACTACTCCCTTTGGAGAAAAAAAGCAAGCCAATAACCCAAACTCAGTAATGTCTTTACTACTGAGGTAGCCAATTATACAGCAGAGCAACTGCTGTATAATTCTAATCAACACTAGTTGATTAGAAAATAATTTATAACACTAAGCCAGATGCAGTAACCTTACAGACTAGCAGTCACCTTTTCACCTAGCATCTCAAAATAAATTTACTGCTTCAGCTTATATCAAGGCAGAGACAATAGTTCCTCCAAGAAATAAAAAGTTTAAGAGGTCCTTTGTAAGTGATAATATAAAACAAATGAAGGCAGTCAATCAAGAGAGCTCGGGAAGGACTTTTTACTAGGGCATGTAGTGACAGGACGAGGGGGAATGGCTATAAACTGGCAGGGTTAGATTAAACTTTAGGAAGAAGTTTTTCACTTTGAGGGTGGTGAGGCACTGGAACAGGTTGCCCAGAGAGGCTGTTGATGCCCCATCCCTGGAGGTGTTCAAGGCCAGGCTGGACGTGGCCCTGGGCAACCTGGTCTAGTGGGAGGTGTCCCTGCCCATGGCAGGGGGGTTGGAACTCAATGATCTTCAAGGTCCTTTCCAACCTAAACCATTCTATGAATCAGACAAAGTAAATCAGTTTACGATCCATTTTACTAAATAACTATCTCAATGTAGCCCACAGGTATCCCCAAGAAGAAGGTGGTCAAAACTGAATGATTACAAAACATCCAAATGCAAAATAACCAGAAACAGGAAATTGTTTGTTTTGTATGTTTAAAAAAGGTACAGACTAGACTTCCACAGCATCAACTCCCATAACACTGATCGGTCTGTACTCTTCTGTCCTTTCTCAGATCATCAGTTCTTAGCAGTATTTTTCTGACACAAGTACAGATGAATTCTTTAGGACATATTCATCCCCTAACAGCACCAGCTTGAAAAACGTCTTCCTCTACAGACAGGCCTGTCACTGATAGCAGATGCTAATGATATAAAACTAATGGAATTGGATTTCTAAGTTAGCAATTCAATCAATATCACACAGTGGAAATCCTTAATTATTTTTAAAAGGCATATTTAAATACACGTTTAATACATATTTAAATACACGTAGACTAAAAACAGTCTAACGCTTCATGGATAAAAAAACCCACAGAATACCTGAAGGGGAGAGATTATCTTGCTGTTCAAGGTTGATGGCTTACTGTGAGATTCTTTGAAGCTTTCTGGTGTTGCAAGTTGGCCAACCGAGGCAGAGATGTTCGGTGTTAAGGAAGTCTTAGTGAGAGACTGCTGTTGCATTTGGTCATGCTGTGGGGTCAACCTGAGTTTCTGGAGAAGATCAACACTTGTATGGGATGTATTTGAGACAGTTCCTGTACTTGTTGATGTCAAGGGTGCTATAAGCTGGCTTTGGCCAGCCATTAGATTTTGTGGAGCGTGGTTCACTTCAGATGGCGGCTGATTCACTAGTGGGGGTATCTGCTTGGCAGCTTGCTGCATAACTTGCATTATACTGTTGTTTTGTTTTAGGCCAGGAAGCATCTGAGCAGGGGCAGCTTCCGTTGTCGAGGCTGAATTAAGATTAGGGCTTAAACGAACCGAATAGCTTGAAACATTTTTTACATCAGGC